AACAGCTTATTCCAAACTCAATATAGTTTATTTGAGAATGTCACCTGTTGAGCAACATATCGAACACTCTTTCCCTTTTCCGTTTTCAAGATGCTCTTTTTTTAAACTGCGTTATTATGGCAATTGAAATAATATAGAATTAACCGTGTTCAAGTGTTTGCGTTGTAAACGCTTTCAATTACATTCTGTGCGCTCTAACGAATTAACATTTTGCAATAAATATTTAATAAAATTTAATAAATATTAATTTTTTATATAATTTATTTATTTAATCCGTTGACAGCTAGTCTGAGTGAGCTTGCGAAACTTAGCACCGCTATCTTATGTATATATTTTTAACATAGTTTGCAAGCATTATAGGACAAGTTCCTCAGTCTTCGCAATCCGAGTGCACAACGCTGCTAAAGACAAAGTTACACTTCAAATCTATCATAAAGCAAGCATGTTTAAACTTTAGAAACTTTGTATGACAGCAATATTTAAGGAGATAAAAGCAATATTTAGGACTAACGATAAATATTAAGGTCGTACGACCAAAACATTAGCACATACGACCACACTTTAGAACATACGACCCATCATTTAGACATAAGACCACACTTTTGAAGATACGAACCAACATTAGGACATACGTCCAAAGTATAGGACATACGTAACATTTTAAGAATATAAAATTAATGTTTGGCTACACCACTAATGTTTTGATGAGACGATCAATCCTTTCGACAATTGAACACCGTTTTTAAATAATTCGACAATCCAAAGGTAGAATTCTCGTTTCCACAAACTATAAATGTTAACAAGCCGTTCGCAAGACATTCATTGGTAACGTAGTCAAGACATTCATTGCTAACGTAGTCAAGTTATTCATTGCTAACGTTCTCAAGACATTCATTGCTAACGTATCAAGACATTCATTGCTAATGTAGTCAAGACATTCATTGCTAACATTGTAAAGACATTCATTGCTATTGTAGTCAAGACATTCATTGCTAACGTATTCAAGACAGTCATTGCAAACGTATTTAAGACATTCATTGCTAACGTAATCAAGACATGCATTGCTAACGTAGTCAAGACATTCATTGCTAACGTATTCAAGACCTTCATTGCTATTGTAGTCAAGACATTCAATGCTAACGTAGTCAAGACATTCAATGCTAACGTATCAAGACATTCAATGCTAACGTAGTCAAGACATTTCATTGCTAACGTAGTCAAGACATTCAATGCTAACGTATTCAAGACATTCAATGCTAACGTAGTCAAGTTATTCATTGCTAACGTTCTCAAGACATTCATTGCTAACGTATTCAAGACATTCATTGCTAATGTAGTCAAGACATTCATTGCTAACATTGTAAAGACATTCATTGCTATTGTAGTCAAGACATTCATTGCTAACGTATTCAAGACAGTCATTGCAAACGTATTTAAGACATTCATTGCTAACGTAATCAAGACATGCATTGCTAACGTAGGCAAGACATTCATTGCTAACGTATTCAATACCTTCATTGCTAAAACGTAGTCAAGACATTCAATGCTAACGTAGTCAAGACATTCAATGCTAACGTATCAAGAAATTCAATGCTAACGTAGTCAAGACATTTCATTGCTAACGTAGTCAAGACATTCAATGCTAACGTATTCAAGACATTCAATACTAACGTAGTCAAGACATTCAATGCTAACGTAGTCAAGACATTCAATGTTAACGTAGTCAAGACATTTCATTGCTAACGCAGTCAAGACATTCAATGCTAACGTATTCAAGACATTCAATGTTAACGTAGTCAAGACATTCAATGCTAACGTAGTCAAGACATTCAATGTTAACGTTGTCAAGACATTCAATGCTAACGTAGTCAAGACATTCAATGCTTACGTAGTCAAGACATTCAATGCTAACGTAGTCAAGACATTCAATGCTAACTTCGTCCCAAATTCAAAAATGAAATAGTTTCTATTATTATTAGGTGGTTTTATTTAGCGCAGTACACCAGCCTAGGGCTAGGATCACTGCAGTACACCAGCCTAGGGCTAGGATCACTGCAGTACACCAGCCTAGGGCTATGATCACTGCAGTACGCCATCCTAGGGCTAGGATCACTGCAGTACGCCATCCTAGGGCTAGGATCACTGCAGTGCACCAGCCTAGGGCTAGGATCACTGCAGTACACCAGCCTAGGGCTAGGATCACTGCAGTACGCCAGCCTAGGGCTAGGATCATTGCAGTACGCCATCCTAGGGTTAGGATCACTGCACTTCACATACAGATTAGAAATTACAGAAAAGCTTCACTTCCCCTTCCCCCCCCCCCCCCAAGTACTACCCCGGTCTCGCCATGGACAGCACCCAGCAGAATCGAGCGATTGTTTATCATTTAGAGAGGTGACAAAGAGACGAAATTGTTTCCATGGAAAGAACGTTGAACACAGACACCTGCTCTGTATGTCACGTTTAACACAGACATCTGCTCTTTATGTCACGATTAACACAGGCACCTGCTCTGTATGTCACGTTTAAAACAGACACCTGCTCTGTATGTCACGTTTAACACAGACACCTGCTCTGTATGTAATTTTGTTCATTGATGATTCTCGGTTCTATTAATAGAAATAGCCTCTGAAGCCTGTTGAATTCATCTAGAATCTAGATGGATTGCCTGAAGATGGATCGTCAGTTGATGGATGATCCAACACCGCCAACAACTTAATTGAGAAATGCAGAGAAGAAATGTGTTGTGAAGGGTGTTGGTTGCAGGGTGTAGAGTTGTACACGTAGCACTGGACTGGGACCGTGGTGTTGTAGCTCTAGACTGGGACCGTGGTGTTGTAGCTCTAGACTGGGACCGTGGTGTTGTAGCTCTAGACTGGGACCGTGGCGGTGTAGCTCTAGACTGGGCCCGAGGTGGTGTCGCTGTAGCTTGCAGTGAAGACTGGGACCGTGGTGGTGTAGCTGTAGTGTGGTGTTGTAGCTCTAGACTGGGGCCGTGGTGATGTAGCTCTAGCTGGCGGTGAAGACTGGGTCCGTGGTGTTGTAGCTCTAGACTGGGACCGTGGTGTTGTAGCTCTAGCTTGCTGTGAAGACTGGGACCGTGGTGTTGTAGCTCTAGACTGGGACCGTGGTGATGTAGCTCTAGACTGGGACCGTGGTGTTGTAGCTCTAGCTTGCTGTGAAGACTGGGACCGTGGTGTTTGCTAGAACTGTGTAACATGCTATGTCTGTCGTAGATACCGGAACGTTGGTCAATTTGAGACTACAGTTGTTTGATGGTATGGCTTTAACATTTCTCAACTTTCGCTGAACCGTTGCCGTCATTTGTATCTACAAGCCCCTAAAGTTTATAACAATATCCTTTGTATTATTGGGCCTTAATTAGCATTGTCACAATATGTCATCGGATTCAATGTATCTCCAAAAGCGTTCACAATAAGCTGTACTTTACTTGCCAAACCGTAGGTTCCAATTTCCCTTACCTTTAATTATTTCCCTTGATGCCCTCTATACACACGCAGTGCGCATGTCTTCCAGTTCTCCTTTACATTAAATGATTTCAGTCGTAACATGTCCCCTACAAGCAGTAACAATGTCTTGAGATTTCCCCCCTCTTGATTTCAGAACGCCAATGTTAAGCTAGAGTTCATCAACAGTGGTAATGGAATCAAGAACCCCCTGCTGAGTGTGGATTTCGCCGACAATAAATTTGGTAAGTGAGACATGACGTCAGATTCAAAGAGGGATCAGTCACGTGATCATTACAGTCTTGTATTTTGTAGTTATGTTACCACTTGAGCTGTGAGTCACCGAGGTAAAATAACAAATCAATAGTTGCTTCTTGGGGGGAGTGGGGCTATGGAGATTAGGTCAAATGTTTGTTAAAGATTGCTAGAATGCCATTAATAAAGAATATAGAGCATGTGCAAAAGAATGCAATTCAAGTGATAGACATGACAATAATATAGAGCATGTATAAAGAATGCAATTCAAGTCATAGACATGACATTAATATAGTGCATGTGTAAAGGATGCAATTCAAGTGATAGACATGAAATTAATATAGAGCATGTGTAAAGAATGCAATTCAGGTCATAGACATGCCATTAATATAGAGCATGTGTAAAGAACTCAATTCAGGTCATAGAAATGACATTAATATAGTGCATGTGTAAAGAATGCAATTCAAGTTTTAGACATGACATTAATATAGTGAATAGAGCATGTGTAAAGAATGCAATTCAGGTCATAGACATGCCATTAATATAGAGCATGTGTAAAGAATGCAATTCAGGTCATAGACATGCCATTAATATAGAGCATGTGTAAAGAATGCAATTCAGGTCATAGACATGCCATTAATATAGAGCATGTGTAAAGAATGCAATTCAGGTCATAGACATGCCATTAATATAGAACATGTGTAAAGAATGCAATTCAGGTCATAGACATGCCATTAATATAGAGCATGTGTAAAGAATGCAATTCAGGTCATAGACATGCCATTAATATAGAGCCTGTGTAAAGAATGCAATTCAGGTCATAGACATGCCATTAATATAGAGCATGTGTAAAGAATGGAACTCAAGTGATAGTCATCGGTAATCAGAAGATATCTTCTTTGCTTGGATAAATAAATAAAGAAATAAGTATTTTGTTTGAATCCAATGAAACCTAGTACTATAAGAATCCAAGTTACTGTTTGCTTGTTTTATTGAACAGTAACACTAATGACACCACATTTCGTGGCTCTATATATTTTAAAGGGGCAGATCCTCTCAGTCCCTCCCCCCCTCCTCTACGCTCCTTGTCTAGACTCTAATAATGGTTCGATGCCACCTGTGTCTCTCTAATGTCTTACTATCGTCCTGTCAGGACAAAGCATCAACTCTCTGCCATGCCCCGTCTGTGCCTTGACCTTCGATACGGCCAAACACCTGCAGAGACACCTCAAGGGTCATCGTGAGATCAAGAGGTTCCTCTGCACATTTTGTGGGAAAGGATTCAATGACACATTCGACCTGAAGCGACACACTCGGACTCACACAGGTAAGCAGGGTGTCCTCACTTCACACTCGGACTCACACAGGTAAGGAGGGTGTCCTCACTTCACATTCGGACTCACACAGGTAAGCAGGGTGTCCTCACTTCACACTCGGACTCACACAGGTAAGCAGGACGTCCTCATTTCACACATGACTACAAAAAACTGTGCAGACCCGAGCCCACAAAGCTAGAAAAAAGCCCCTAAGCAAAATTTTCGGGCACGCACAATATCACCATAGGTGCCTAAGACTTATAGTGTGCCCAGACTGCTAACAATTGTAATCACCTCAGTATTCTCACTAGAAAGAATAGCTAAAATTGAAATTATGTAGCATTTTAGACCGACATCTTGGACAATGTAGCAACAAAGCCAGGTCAAACGCTCCTGTGATATTTCTGTGATCTACATTAAACTGTTCCGAGTGACATCTCAAGGTCACTGTTTTATGGTCTTGCTGATAACCAAATGGACGACATTTTCCCACTGTCCAAACATCTATCCACATGTAAGACCACCCCCTTCCCGCCCCCATTTCTTATACTTTACAGTATGCGCACTTTTCTTCACCAACATTTCAGACAAACACAGAATAAACAAAAATAAAGCAAAAAAAAATAAAAAAGTTACAATTAAAAAAAAAAAAACACACTCTTAAACAGAAATCTTTCAATGAAATCTATTCTGATGTCTTAATGAAAGCTGCTTTGTCGTTCAGTGCTAGAGATGTGTTAGAAAGGAGCCGTTGCTTTAGATTAACAGTACAAACCGTACTACACCCAACTCTATTTTTAATACACTTATTGACATTTCGTGTAACATTGAATACAATTTGCTTTTGACAACGTGCAAACAGAGCCACTATACCAAACAGAGCCACTCTACCTTGCACTTTCCTGCGGCGATTTGTTGGAGCGCAAAATAATTATGTGCTTGCCAAAAGGCGCGGAAGTGTCGCATTATCTTTCACAATGGCTATCAAATCAACGCTCTTCCCATTGCGAGAATCATGTATTTAAAAAAAAATGTCCTTGCCGTAATGGGACGCGTCGCTATGGGGATTTGAACTTTAGAAATTGGGGTAATACCTGAATCTCTTTAAATGTGTCTTTCACCCCTTAATAGCAACACTATTCCATTCAAGAAGTTCCCGTTATAAACATAGAGACTCGTCCATTCATATATGACATTCCATGTTTGAATTACCTTGTTTAATTTGTGCACTAGATTGCAGGGAGTACTTTCAGTGGTGTTAAAGTCATTTTAATGTTCTGTCATAACATTTCAATTTACTCAAATGGTGTCTTTGTAACGGTGTCTTCGTAACGGTGCCTTAGTAACGGTGCCTTAAAACCGGTGTCTTAGTAACGGTGTCTTAGTAACTGTGTCTTAGTAACGGTGTCTTAGTAACGGTGTCTTAGTAACGGTGTCTTAGTAACGGTGCTTATTTACGGTGTCTTAATTACGGTGTCTTAGTAGCGGTGTCTTAGTAACGGTGCTTAGTAACGATGTCTTAGTAACGGTGTCTTAGTAATGGTGCTTAGTAACGGTGCTTAGTAACGGTGTCTTAGTAACGGTTTCTTAGTAACGGTGTCTTAGTAACGGTGCTTAGTAACGGTGTCTTAGTAACGGTGTCTTAGTAACGGTGCTTAGTAACGGTGTCTTAGTCACGGTTTCTTAGTAACGGTTTCTTAGTAATGGTGTCTTAGTAACGGTGCTTAGTAACGGTGTCTTAGTAACGGTGTCTTATTAACGGTGCTTAGTAACGGTGTCTTAGTTACGGTGTCTTAGTAACGGTGCTTAGTAACGGTGTCTTAGTAACGGTGCTTAGTTACGGTGTCTTAGTAACGGTGTCTTAGTAACGGTGCTTAGTAACGGTGTCTTAGTAATGGTGTCTTAGTAATGGTGCTTAGTAACGGTGCTTAGTAACGGTGTGTTAGTAACGGTTTCTTAGTAACGGTGTCTTAGTAACGGTTTCTTAGTAACGGTGTCTTAGTAACGGTGCTTAGTAACGGTGTCTTAGTAACGGTGTCTTAGTAACGGTGCCTAGTAACGGTGTCTTAGTTACGGTGTCTTAGTAACGGTTTCTTAGTAACGGTGTCTTAGTACTGGTGCTTAGTAACGGTGTCTTAGTTACGGTGTCTTAGTAACGGTTTCTTAGTAACGGTGTCTTAGTAACGGTGCTTAGTAATGGTGTCTTAGTAACGGTGTCTTAGTAACGGTGCCTAGTAACGTCGTCTTAGTTACGGTGTCTTAGTAACGGTTTCTTAGTAACGGTGTCTTAGTAACGGTGCTTAGTAACGGTGTCTTAGTAGCGGTGTCTTAGTAACGGTCCTTAGTTACGGTGTCTTAGTTACGGTGTCTTAGTAGCGGTGTCTTAGTAACGGTGTCTTGGTAACAGTGGTTTAGTAACGGTGCTTAGCTACGGTGTCTTAGTAACGGTGTCTTAGTAACAATGTCTTAGTAACAGTGCTTAGCTACGGTGTCTTAGTAACGGTGTCTTAGTAACGGTGTCTTCGTAACGGTGTCTTAGTAACGGTGCTTAGCAACGGTGCTTAGTATCGGTGCTTAGTAACGGTGCCTTGTAACGGTGTCTTAGTAATGGTGTCTTAGTAACGGTGCTAAGTAACGGTGCTTAGTAACGTTGCTTAGTAACGGTGCTTAGTAACGGTTTCTTAGTAACGGTGCTTAGTAACGGTGTCTTAGTAATGGTTTAGGAGCAATTTCAAAGTAATGCTAGTTTAGTTACGGTATCTTGCAAACGGTATCTTAGAAACAGTGTCGTAGTAACTGGATCTCAGTAACGGTTTCTTAATAACGGTCTTAGTATAGGTTTCCTTATTCGCCGTGTTTTAGTTATTGCACAATAGTACAAGTAGCACAGTAGGAGAATCTTAATAAGAGTATCTGCGTAACTGCATCTTAGAAACGGTGTCTTAGTTACTGCATCTTGGTAACAGTGTCTTAGTAATGGTGTCTTAATAACGGTGTCTTAGTAACGCTATCTTTATAAAGGTATCTTATTAAATGTATTTTAATAGTTGATCCTTAATAACGCTATCTCAGTAACAGTATCTTAGTCATTGAATCTTGGTAACGGTATCTAAGTAGGGGTAATTTTAGTAACAGTGGCAAGCAATGGTGTGTGAGGAAGGGTGTCATATCTACAATGTCTTTATATGGATTTATTTGTTAAGTTGTGTTAATAAGGATGTCTTTGTTATGGTGTGTTAGTAAGGATGTGTTTGTTACGATTTTTAGTAAGGAAGTGTTTGTTATGATGTGTTATAAAGGATGTCTTTGTTACGATGTGTTAGTAAGGATGTCTTTGTTACCATGTGTTAGTAAGGATGTGTTTGTTACGATGTGTTAGTAAGGATGTCTTTGTTACGATGTGTTAGTAAGGATGTCTTTGTTACGATGTGTTAGTAAGGATGTCTTTGTTACGATGTGTTAGTAAGGATGTCTTTGTTACGTTGTGTTAGTAAGGATGTCTTTGTTACTATGTGTTAGAAAGGATATCTTTGTTACGAGGTCAACTGATATAGATGATTGTGTTCTATAGGCACACACAACGTTATTCTTGACATCTTATGTTTCCGAAATAGGTTGTACAGCGCCCCCCCCCCCCCCCCCAACAAACCGCAGGTAATGGTGGAATAGGTAGATGGAATAGGTTTGTGTTCTATAGGCACACACAACGTTATTCTTGACATCTTATGTTTCCGAAATAGGTTGTACAGCGCCCCACCCCCCCCCCAACAAACCGCAGGTAATGGTGGAATAGGTAGATGGAATAGGTAGATGGAATAGGTAGATGAAATAGGTAGATGGATAGGTAGATGGAATAGCTAGATGGAATAGGTAGATGGAATAGGTAGATGGGATAGGTAGATGGGATAGGTAGATGGGATAGGTAGATGGAATAGGTAGATGGAATAGGTAGATGGAATAGGTAGATGGAATAGGTAGATGGGATAGGTAGATGGGATAGGTAGATGGAATAGGTAGATGGAATAGGTAGATGGAATAGGTAGATGGAATAGGTAGATGGAATAGGTAGATGGAATAGGTAGATGGAATAGGTAGATGGAATAGGTAGATGGAATAGGTAGATGGGATAGGTAGATGGAATAGGTAAATGGGATAGGTAGATGGGATAGGTAGATGGAATAGGTAGATGGAATAGGTAGATGGAATAGGTAGATGGGATAGGTAGATGGGATAGGTAGATGGGATAGGTAGATGGGATAGAGCGTTTAAAATAAATAAGGCGGGTTTACCTCACCACATCAAGATATGTTTAAAATAGTGATCTAAGCAAGAGTCTTCAAAACAGCTGATGTACACATCTGTGATCTAAGCAAGAGTCTTCAAAACAGCTGATGTACACATCTGTGATTATTCTTATTTCACTCTATCGTAAATTTCGGAAACGTCATTTGGTGAGGCTACGAGGGCTGGGGATATATTTTAAAGGACTGTAGTTGATCATCAGTACCTTGTGGGTTGCCGCTTCTGCGTGGGAGTCCGTTAGGTGCTAACAAACGTAGCAACAAAAAGAGAACCAGGATGCAAAGTCATAATTTGTCATGCAAAATTGTATTTATTTATAGATTTTTAAAGATTCCAACATTGCCCTAGACGCAGCTTTTTGTCCGCCCCACTCAAATGGTATCTTTATGTCTGCCACACTCAAATGGTATCTTTTTGTCTGCTACATTCATATGGTATCTTTTTCCTGCCACACTCAAATGGTATATTTTAATCTGCCACATTCATTTTTGTATCTTTTTGTCTGCCACACTCAAATGGTATCTTTTTCCTGCCACACTCCGACGGTATCATTTTGTCTGTTACACTCCAATGATATCTTTTTGTGTGCCACACTAAAATGGTTTCTTTTTTTCCCACTCTCCAATGGTATCTTTTCGTCTGCCACAGACACAAGGTATCTATTTGTCTTCCATACTCCAATGGCATCTTTTTGTCTGCCACACTCAAATGGTATTTTTTTGTCTGCCACAGTCCGATGGTATCTTTTTGTCTGCCACACTCCGATGGTATCTTTTTATTGGCCACACTCCAATGGTATCTTTGATACTTTGTCATGATAAACGCCGTTCTTTCTGCATTATTTTTTAAAATATTTTTTGTTACATTGGTTTGTTTGTTTGTTTGTTTGTTTGTTTGTTTGTTTGTTTTTCTTCCTTGAAATTCAAAACCGGATGGAGACATTCCTTTTTCTTGGAAATAATATTTTATTATTTGTTTGTTGTTGACATTGCAACATTTTTACTTCACTTCCTGTTTCTGCATGGCTGAATTGCAGTACAGTTGTCTGAGTTTTAGACGCTTCTTAGATGTCGGCAACTTACATATATTATCTTCAGTAATAAATTGTGTAGAAACTTATCCTGTCACCTTAGATATTCTTTGGTTAGTCGTCCAACAACATTATTGTATTACAATTATTTTTATTATTATTATCATAATTATTATTATCTTTATTATCATCAATATCATCATTATTATTATAATTATAGTCATCATCATCATCATGTTCAAAATGTCTAATTAGATGATTATTTTATATGTCCCATCTTATTCTGGGGAAAATATGATCCTACTTATTGCTAGACATCTGTGAGTATTTAGTTAAACAGTTAAACCACCAGTTTAACCAATGAGATCAAGTATAATGTCCTTAAACTTTAATAAAACAATAATATAAGGCGATAAAAGAAATAACGATTGGAAAAGAGATGATTCCATAAAGATGATTCAATAGAGATGATTAAATAGATATGATTAAATAGAGATTTAATAAAGAGATTTTATAAAGATGATTAAATTGAGACGATTCAAAAAATTATTTAATGGAAATGATTCATTAAAGATTATTTTATTGAGATGAGTCAATATAGATGATCCAATAGACACGATTCAATTTAAATGATTAAATATAGATGATTCAAAAATAGAGATGATTAAATAGAGATGATTTAATTGATATCATTCAATAGAGTTGATGCAATAGAGATGATTCAATAGAGTTGATTCGATAGAGATAATTCAATAGATATTACTCATTAGAGATTATTCAATAAAGATGATTCAATAAAGATTATTCAATAGAGATGATTTAAAAGAAATGATTTGCTAGAAATGATGCAATAGAGATGATTCCTTAGGGATGAATAAAACTAGATTATTCAATAGAGATCATTTAAAAGAGATGATTCAAAGGAGATAATTCAAAGAGATGATTCAAGAGTAAGTATGTTCATAGTTGTCACACATCATTAGGATACATATTAAAAATTAAAACCCCATAAAAGCCCGTGAGCGACTTCATTTGTGTACCGTGACCCCTGGCTGGGTACTAGGGGTTCTCATGTGTGTACCGTGACCTATGGCTGGGAACTAGGGGTTCTCATGTGTGTACCGTGACCCATGGCTGGGAACTAGGGGTTCTCATGTGTGTACCGTGACCCATGGCTGGGAAATAGGGGTTCTCATGTGCGTACCGTGACCCATGGCTGGGAACTAGGGGTTCTCATGTGTGTACCGTGACCCATGGCTGGGAACTAGGGGTTCTCATGTGTGTACCGTGACCCATGGCTGGGAACTAGGGGTTCTCATGTGTGTACCGTGACCCATGGCTGGGAACTAGGGGTTCTCATGTGTGTACCGTGACCCATGGCTGGGTACTATGGTTCTTATTTGTGTACCGTGACCCATGGGTGGGAACTAGGTGTTCTCATGTGTGTACCGTGACCCATGGCTGGGAACTAGGGGTTCTCATTTGTGCACCGTGACCCATGGCTGGGAACTAGGGGTTCTCATGTGTGTACCGTGACCAATGGCTGGGTACTAGGGGTTCTCATGTGTGTACCGTGACCTATGGCTGGGAACTAGGGGTTCTCATGTGTGTACCGTGACCCATGGCTGAGAACTACCGGTGCTCTTTTGTGTACCGTGACCTATGGCTGGGAACTAGGGGTTCTCATTTGTGTACTGTGACCCATGGCTGGGAACTAGGTGGTCTCATTTGTGTACCGTGACCCATGGCTGGGAACTAGGGGTTCTCATTTGTGTACCGTGACCCATGGCTGGGAACTAGGGGTTCTCATTTGTGTACCGGGACCCATGGCTGGGAACTAGGGGTTCTCATTTGTGTATTGAGACCGATGGCTGGTAACTAGGGGTTCTCATTTGTGAACCGTGACCCATGGCTGGGAACTAGAGGTTCTCATTTTTGTATTATGACCCCATGGCTGGGGACTAGGGGTTCTTATGTGTGTATTGTGACTCATGGCTGGGAAAGAGGAGTTCTCATGTGTGTACCGTGGCCTATGGCTGGGAACTAGGGGTTCTCATTTGTGTATGGTGACCCAAGGCTGGGAACTAGTGTTTCTCATTTGTGTACTGTGACCCATGGCTGGGAACAAGGGGTTCTCATTTGTGTACCCAGACCCATGTCTTAGAACTAGGGGGTTCTCATTTGTGTTCCGTGACCCATGGCTGAGAAATAGGGGTTCTCATTTTTGTATTGACCAATGGCTGAGAACTAGGGGTTCTCATTTGTGTACCGCGACCCATGGCTGGGAACTAGGGGTTCTCATTTGTGTACCGTGACCTATGTCTCAGAACTAGGTGTTCTCATTTTAGTATTGACTCATGGCTGAGAACTAGGGGTCTCATTTGTGTATTGACCAATGGCTGAGAACTAGGGGTTCTCATGTGTGTACCGTGACCCATGGCTGAGAACTAGGGGTTCTCATGTGTGTACCGTGACCCATGGCTTGGAACTAGGATTTCTCATTTCCCGGGGTTTGGTTTATCCCGTGAGAACGGGAATGATGTTTTCCTCTTCCTAGAATCCGAGGACAGAAACCCCACGGTTTTTGCAAGACTCGATACTAACGTTCCTGATGCCCCGCAGTGTTTGCAAGACTCAATACTTAAGTTCCTGATGCCCTACAGTGTTTTCAAGATTCAATACTGAAGTTCTTGATGCCTCACAGTGTTTGCAAGACTCAATACTAAATTTCCTGATGCCTCACAGTGTTCGCTATAACTGCCTCACAGCTCCTCCAATCTCTTTCTGTCCCACTGAGTTATCTGGCGTGATGTCACATTGAGATCTAAATCTGTAAGGCAAACATTTTTGTGTACATGTGTCCGTTCCTGTATGGGCGTCCCAAATGTGGCTTTGAGTCGACCTCCCTTCCAGCACCCAAAGCCCCTACGGATTAACCCGAGGCGAACAAGGTTAGGAAAAAAAGACGAGTTACGGGTCTTGGGGCGATGAAAATTTCAGTGTAAACAAACATGCCACAGGGCGCTGTATGGGGACATGTTAGTACGGACAGAATTATTCTTATTGGTATCAAATATCCCACCGGAAACTTACACTCTTTTCTTTGTTACTCTAGCGACCGGTTAAATATTTTGACATGAAACGTGCGCGGTCTCTTCAGTTGCGACGGGGATTCTCAAAAGTTTAGCACAAACTCTCAACGGGTCTTCTCCCTTATTCCCGATAAAACCTATGTATACGAACCAATTAATGCTTAAAAATTAATTGAATGTTATGAAATAACATCTTACCATAACATCGTCCTCTCGTAGCAGATAGATAGGGTAGTTAAATCGTGAAAAATGAGAACAGCTTTCCTGAAAGCTTCCCCACTGACTTACCTTTACCATCTATGCACACATCGCCGGTGATTTTCTTAGCAAAAACTCGTGTTTGCACTGAGACGTAGTGATTCCGAGAGTATGCAGACTTTTTATTGCCATTTAATTCAATTAAATATTTTACACATTTTTTTTAAAAATAATTTTTTGAAGACTTCAATAGTTCTTATTAAGTGTTCAACAATAAAGAAAACAAGGCTAAAACCTTGCTTTAATTTACATACATATTAGTAAAAAATATCAAGAAGGACATGAGAATTAGAATTATAAGATGTTTGGATTTCAAAATTAAAACGAATTTATTTTTAAAAGTTACATTATTTTTAAAGATGTCAAACAGGTGTCTCAAATCTCATTGGCTATTTGAGTCAACCATTCCGAAGTTGAAACACGCCCCTTCAAATCTGTAGAGAAAGCGAGGCTGTCCAAAGCCAATATTTGATTTGTTACAGGCCTAATTTCTATTTAAGATGTCCTCAACGCACTTTTATTTCTTAAATGAAAGTGTGTTTGTGTATGTGTGTGTTTTGCGGGAGGGGGGGGGGGGCTGACAACACTGACAACACTTCCCCGAGTGCCAACTAGTGCTTCCCGGACACATCTTTCTTGTCAATCTTGGACATGACTGGCGATACTGCCCTTATTCAACGCATTTTTATTTCTTAAATGAAAGTGTGTTTGTGTATGTGTGTGTTTTGCGGGAGGGGGGGGGCTGACAACACTGACAACACTTCCACGAGTGCCAACTAGTGCTTCCCGGATACATCTTTCTTGTCAAGTGTGGACATGACTGGCGATACTGGCCTTAAATCTGTTTGATTTTGTAATTGTGCCAGGCTCTTGGGAGGCGATGAAGTGCTAGCTGATCGTTCGGTACTTGAGAAATCTACTAATGCGGCTGTCACTGCATATCCCTGAATTTGAATTCTTCGTTATGTCTACGACCAGACGGGACGTCAAGCTACATGTCAGCCAGGGGCGACGCTAGGGGGGGGGCGAAGTGGGCGACGTATTATATTTATAATATACATAAGCCTACCAATAGTTCCTAATCCAGTCAACACAATATTCGGTGTTATTAGATAGCCATATGGTCTGAAGGTCAGTCTGGCTCCCATACTTACCCATTCGATATGAATCTTAATATCCTATTGGTGGAATATATAACGTCAACGGCCCGCAAAATTCAATTTGCCCAAGGCCCCTCACCCTCCTAGCGCCGGCCCTGATGTCAGCATCTCAAATCTGGGTGATCAGTCAGGATCTTTCAAGTTGGTCACAACTGCTTTTGCTTCACCTCAGAAATTAAAGTTGCTACCCCAACCCCCTACATCCCCCGGGAAAGTCTATTTTCCCCGGAGCAGAATGTGTACAACAATAAATCGAACATATATTTTATATGTAAAAAATTACAAAAATGTCATTTTTAAAACACTTTTAAAAAGATTATAACTGGTGTCATTAACCGATTACAATGAGTGGAATCTAAGAAATGTAGCTACATTTGGAATCTAAGAATGGTAGCTACATTCGATATATTTGACGATACTTATATTTAAGGCTAATCTTGTTAGAGGCTTATAATATTCCATTATAAATATTGTACTATTTCGAGACTTGGCCGCGCCCAACTATTAGTCCTTTTGTTCGAATATATCGGTATTTCTATTTAATTATTATTTGCAACTTCGCAAGTTTAAAGACTTTAATAACACGTTATAAAAAATACCTTTACATCAATAAAAAAAAGGTCTATAATTTTAATATAGTTCTTTCTAAGTATAAAACATCTGCAAGCTGTTTTCAAATTATATTTCATCATAAAGCATGAATTTTAAAGTAGGGATATGTGTTCATTATAAATTTTTGATGGTGTCATGCTTAATAAAATATATTTATTTTAATCTTTTCTTCAAATTTACTCGACTTTTGAGCTAGAAAAAATAAAAGCTTCATAAAACAATAATGATTTTTTCTCAGAAAAGTGAATAATTTAACGGGCGCATACAAATAGTGCACGTTTCATCAATGATTGAATCACAAGCTTTTATCTTTTCTTTAACTGTGCTACTGTTGTAACAAAGTTTCCTGGAGAATAGAGTGTTTAAAAAATACTTAGCATATATTTATTAGATTCCCAACTTATTTCCTCTTTTAAAATCACATTACTAAACCACCTGCCTCATCTATTGGCACGCACTTTGTACAAATTCAGTATATTTGCAATAGAGAGAAATAAGGAGAAAGCTGAAAAACGTTTATGTGAAATAGCATTTCGATTTTTATGGTCAATCCATTTTTGGGGTTTTAATTTAAAAATAATTTCTATCGATTTGGTAAAAAATCTGTTCAAGTATATCGAAGAAACACTGTGTAAGTTATCAGCAAATGATATCCAGAGGAAAAAAATCTCATCAAACTATATACAGCAAAATGACAATCAACTTTGTAGAAAAAAATGCCATCCAAATATATAGAACAAAATGAGATCCAACTATGAAGAACAAAATGCGATCCAACTATAAAGAAAAAATGTCATCCAAATATATAGAACAAAATGAGATCCAACTATGAAGAACAAAATGCGATCCAACTATAAAGAAAAAATGTCATCCAACTACATAGAAAAATGCCATCCAACTATATAGAACCAAATAACACCCAACTATGTAGAAAATATGCCTTGCGCCTGTCTTTCCAAGACCAGTGATCACCTCAAATCTAAAATCAATTAACTAGATCTGTCTCGGGAATTTTTCTGTAGAGTCAAGTCATGTTTGTCTATAGTGTCACGCCATGTTTGTCTATTGTGTCACGCCATGTTTGTCTAAAGTGTCACGCTATGTTTTTCTGTAGTGTCATGCCATGTTTGTCTATAGTGTCACGCCATGTTTGTCTGTAGTGTCACGCCATGTTTGTCTGTAGTGTCAGGCCATATTTGTCTATAGTGTCACGCCATGTTTGTCTATAGTGTCACGCCATGTTTGTCTAAGTGTCACACCATGTTTGTCTGTAGTGTCAGGCCATGTTTTTCTGTAGTGTCACGCCATGTTTGTCTGTAGTGTCATGCCATGTTTGTCTATAGTGTCAAGCCATAAAATTCCTAAAATGGCGATGCGATCTCTTTAAAACTTATTTCTGTGGTAATGTAATAGACTAGTTACCTGGATTCCTGCCCTTCCTATCTAACAGAACTTCTTTCTGTCTATTCACCTCTTCGACAGCTTCGCTCCTCTGCAGACACCCGTATTCTGTCCGTTCCCAAGACACACACTAAAACATATGGTGAACGATCTTTCTCTTTCTGCGCCCCCAAACAATGGATTTCTTTGGCACTACACATACGCAATATACAAACCACCCAGGTCTTCAAAACTGCACTCAAAACTCATCTTTTTAAATTATAATACCCTGAGTGATTCCCCTCTTCTGACCGATAAACGATCTTGTTGGCTGCCGTCCATGGTTTGCCTTGTACAAGTTCTGGGGTGGGGTGGGTCAAGATACATTTTTTTTTGGTGTTCTTTATTTCATAAATGTATTTTATTTTAATGTCATGCTTATGTCTCTTTTGATAAAATTTGTATGTACAGCGCGGTGAGCCCAGCCCTAGGCTGGGGTACCGCGCTATATAAGACCCCTTATTATTATTATTATTATTATTACTACTACATTTTTATTTGTTGATATGTTCTACTACAGTTTTAATTTGTTGATGTGTTCTACTCCAGTTGTAATGTGTTGATATGTTCTACTACAGCTTTAATTTGTTCATGGGTTCTACTACACTTTTAATTTGTTGATGTGTTCTACTCCAGTTTTAATGTGTTGATATGTTCTACTACAGCTTTAATTTGTTCATGGGTTCTACTACAGTTTTATTTTAACAACAAATACTAAAATAATTAACTAGGCTCAGCCACGGCAGATGATATCTTCAATTGGATGTGTAGTGAAGATAGCTTGAATGGGATGTGTAGTGAGAATATCTTACATACGGGTCACCTAATACCATCGGAAAACACATTTATGAAATACCGACGAAAATAATTTTATGGCTGGGAGTCACCACAAAATGATAAATTGTAATAAAATGTAAAAATTAGGAAGGTTGAGAACCAATGGAATTATGTGTCTCTTTTACTAGAAGCACTTTGAGTAGCATGACTAGAAGCACTTTGAGTAGCATGACTAGAAGCACTTTGAGTAGCATGACTAGAAGAACTTTGAGTAGCATGACTAGAAGCACTTTGAGTAGCATGACTAGAAGCACTTTGAGTAGCATGACTAGAAGCACTTTGAGTAGCATGACTAGAAGAACTTTGAGTAGCAATACTAGAAGCACTTTGAGTAGCATGACTAGAAACACTTTGGGTAGCATGACTAGAAGCACTTTGAGTAGCATGACTAGAAGCACTTTGAGTAGCATGACTAGAAGCACTTTGGGTAGCATGACTAGAAGCACTTTGAGTAGTATGACTAGAAGCACTTTGAGTAGCATGACTAGAAGCACTTTGAGTAGCATGACTAGAAGCACTTTGAGTAGAATGACTAGAAGCACTTTGAGTAGAATGACTAGAAGCACTTTGAGTAGCATGACTAGAAGCACTTTGAGTAGCATGACTAGAAGCACTTTGGGTAGCATGACTAGAAGCACTTTGGGTAGCATGACTAGAAGCACTTTGAGTAGCATAACTAGAAGCACTTTGAGTAGCATGACTAGAAGCACTTTGAGTAGCATGACTAGAAGCACTTTGGGTAGCATGACTAAAAGCACTTTGAGTAGCATGACTAGAAGCACTTTGAGTAGCATGACTAGAAGAACTTTGGGTAGCATGACTAGAAGCACTTTGGGTAGCATTCAGAATATAGAGGCACCCTGTAGATTTGTCTTGAAAAGAGATATGTAACCTTGTGTGCATTCAGAATATAGAGGCACCCTGTAGATTTGTCTTGAAAAGAGATATGTAACCTTGTGTGCATTCAGAATATAGAGGCACCCTGTAGATTTGTCTTGAAAAGAGATATGTAACCTTGTGTGCATTCAGAATATAGAGGCACCCTGTAGATATGTCTTGAAAAGAGATATGTAACCTTGTGTGCATTCAGAATATATAGGCACCCTGTAGATTTGTCTTGAAAAGAGATATGTAACCTTGTGTGCATTCAGAATATATAGGCACCCTGTAGAGTTGTCTTGAAAAGAGATATGTAACCTTGTGTGCATTCAGAATATAGAGGCACCCTGTAGATTTGTCTTGAAAAGAGATATGTAACCTTGTGTGCATTCAGAATATAGAGGCACCCTGTAGATTTGTCTTGAAAAGAGATATGTAACCTTGTGTGCATTCAGAATATAGAGGCACCCTGTAGATATGTCTTGAAAAGAGATATGTAACCCTGTGTGCATTCAGAATGTAGAGGCACCCTGTAGATATGTCTTGAAAAGAGATATGTAACCTTGTGTGCATTCAGAATATAGAGGCACCCTGTAGATATGTCTTGAAAAGAGATATGTAACCTTGTGTGCATTCAGAATATATAGGCACCCTGTAGATATGTCTTGAAAAGAGATATGTAACCTTGTGTGCATTCAGAATATAGAGGCACCCTGTAGATTTGTCTTGAAAAGAGATATGTAACCTTGTGTGCATTCAGAATATAGAGGCACCCTGTAGATTTGTCTTGAAAAGAGATATGTAACCTTGTGTGCATTCAGAATATATAGGCACCCCGTAGAGTTGTCTTGATAAGAGATATGTAACCTTGTGTGCATTCAGAATATAGAGGCACCCTGTAGATTTGTCTTGAAAAGAGATATGTAACCTTGTGTGCATTCAGAATATAGAGGCACCCTGTAGAGTTGTCTTGAAAAGAGATATGTAACCTTGTGTGCATTCAGAATATAGAGGCACCCTGTAGAGTTTTCTTGAAAAGAGATATGTAACCTTGTGTGCATTCAGAATGTAGAGGCACCCTGTAGATATGTCTTGAAAAGAGATATGTAACCTTGTGTGCATTCAGAATATAAAGGCACCCTGTAGATATGTCTTGAAAAGAGATATGTAACCTTGTGTGCATTCAGAATATAGATGCTCCCTGTAGATATGTCTTGAAAAGAGATATGTAACCTTTTGTGCATTCAGAATATAGAGGCACCCTGTAGATTTGTCTTGAAAAGAGATATGTAACCTTGTGTGCATTCAGAATATATAGGCACCCTGTAGAGTTGTCTTGAAAAGAGATATGTAACCTTGTGTGCATTCAGAATATAGAGGCACCCTGTAGATATGTCTTGAAAAGAGATATGTAACCTTGTGTGCATTCAGAATATAGAGGCACCCTGTAGATTTGTCTTGAAAAGAGATATGTAACCTTGTGTGCTTTCAGAATATAGAGGCACCCTGTAGATTTGAATTTCTTTTTTTTTTTTAACAATAATATTTAAAAAACAGCTTTTCTGTCCTTGCAGGTGTCCGCCCGTACAGATGTGCTCAGTGCGACAAGGCGTTTACCCAACGTTGCTCACTCGAGTCCCACACCAAGAAGATACACGGAATGGCGGAAGATCTCGCCTTCAACGAGAGGCGGGTCAAGCTGTACGTTTGCGAAGATTGTGGTCACTCGACAGACCTTGCCGAAGATCATTACGCACACGTCCGGGTTAGGCACCCCCCTAGTCACTTGAAGGGTCGAAATGACGTAATAGCGGCACTGTGAAGCTGTAGAGTGTAGAGAGTGTAAAAAATGACGTCATAGCGGCACTGGTTTAGAGTGTAGAGGGTGTAAGAAATGACGTCATAGTGAGGCTGTGTGGCTCTCGCGACAAATCAACGTCGCGTCAATGATGCGGATTGGGGGTAGACATGTCTCCAAGGAATTCTCTGCTGGGAAAATATGTTTAATTTCATATGTCGTAGAACAGAATAAACAAATATGTGATGCTGAAATTCTGAATACAAATAAAACTATATATATATTGATATGGTGTGATTTCTGAACGTGATACATTATTTAGAGGTCAAATGGTGGCCTAGTGCTAATGGTGGCATAGTGCTAATGGTGGCCTAGTGCTAATGGTGGCCTAGTGCTAATGGTGGCCTAGTGTTAATGCTGGCCTAGTGCCAATCAGTTACCCACTTCCCCCATCACCCGATCCATACCACCTCCACCACTTGAGAAAATATTTTTACTTTTCAATAAATAAAATCTACTAGTTATATCAATAGACACCATAGAGACGCTCCTAATGACCATGTTATAAAGACACCACAGAGACGCTCCTAATGACCATGTTATAAAGACACCACAGAGACGCTCCTAATGACCATGTTACATAGACACCACAGAGACGCTTCTAATGACCATGTTAAATAGACACCACAGAGACGCTCCTAATGACCATGTTACATAGACACCACAGAGACCCTCCTAATGACCATGTTAAATAGACACCACAGAGACGCTCCTAATGACCATGTTATAAAGACACCACAGAGACGCTCCTAATGACCATGTTATAAACACACCACAGAGACGCTCCTCATGACTATGTTACATGTTGTTGTTGTTAGTCCGTCGAAGTCGACAAGGACCATCGAATCATCCGGTTAGGGGCGGGCGGGG